TCAAATATCAATAGTTTAAAGAAACAGTAGTATCTCAGAATCTGAAGTACATTTCATTACTCTTTATGTGCTAATTTGGCAGAGAATCAAAATCATACCCAGCTTTAATGAGGTTTTGTGCCATTGGAGAACCCATGATTCCAAGACCAAGAAATCCAATCTTTGCAGGCAATTCATCTGCCACAAATTGAATAAGTCAAGGGAATAACACGAATCTGTTCATTATGCTTGTAAAGAATAACTATGTTTCCTTACACCTAATCCCAATCTTAAATAGAATGTAATGACATAAGGATTCATTTTTTTTAAAATAAAAGTAATTGAAGAAAATTGAGAGGTAAAAATATTCTTTTTCTATTTTTTGATGAATGATTTACACATATATATACAAATCTAATACTTCTAATAGTCTAACAAATTCTGGAGAAATTCTAACAAAATTCTGGTTTGAAGAAGAAATTTGTTGGCGATACCCTCCATGTACAGTACATAACAGCTGTAAATAACCATATTTAATACTAATTTATTCTTTTAATTATTTTATTTTCTACACTCCCCCTCAATCTAGTTTACGTATATGTTGAGTAAACCTAAATTGAATATTATGTCATCAAAGGTTCTCTTAGGAAAAGTTTTAGTTAGAATATCTGCGATCTGTTGATTAGTTGGAATGTGCATCAGAGTTATAGTCCCATCTTCTAATTTTTCTCTAATGAAATGATGATCAATCTCCACATGTTTGGTTCTATCATGATGTACTAAATTTTTGGCCATACTAATTGTTAATTGGTAGTCGCATCATACTTTCATAGGCATATTGTTGAGAACTTTTAATTTTTCAAGTATTCTCTTCAACCATACACCTTCACAAATACCATGAGCAAGCGCTTTAAATTCAGATTCTGCACTGCTGCGAGACACAACAGACTGTTTCTTGTTTCTCCAGGTTACCCCAAACATAGGTACAATATCCTGATGCAGATCTCCTGTCATCTGTAGAACCTGCCCAATCCGCATCCGTGTAGATTTCAACACCCCTTCTGTCTGTCTTCTGAAAGAATAAACCTTATCCTGGAGTCTTCTTGAGATACCTCAGAATCCGATACACAACCCTCATGTGATCTTCAGTTAGCTAATGCATGAACTGACTTACTGTACTTATTGCAAAACTGATGTTTAGTCTTGTGTGAGCCAAGTAAATAAGTTTCCGAACAAGTCTTTGGTATCTCCCTTTGTCAACCATTTTGTCACTGATTCTGAATCCAAATTTGATGACTGAATCCATAGGGGTGTCAGCAAGCTTGCTTCCTAGCATCCCAGTCTCTTTTAGAAGATCCAGAATGTACTTTCGTTGAGAAACCGAAATCTCCTTTTTTGATCTAATTACTTCCATACCGAGGAAGTACTTTAGTACCCCAAGATCTTTTATTTCAAATTCTTTGGCCAGGAATTCTTTAAGTTTCTGAATCTCCTCAAGGTAATCTCCTGTACGAATGATATCATCAACATATACAATCAAAATAGCTTTCTTACCTGATATGCAGTGTTTGACGAACAATATATGGTCGGATTGACATTATTCATATCTTTTATGTTTTACAGCTCTTGTGAATCTGTCAAACTATGCCCTTGGAGATTGTTTTAGGACATAAAGTGATTTCTTCAATTTATACACTTTCTGATAATTGTCAGGTAATTCGAACTCTGGTGATATATTCATATACACCTCTTCTTCCAAATCGCCATTAAGGAATGCATTTTTTTCATCTAATTGATACAGTGGCCAGTCAAGGTTAGATGCAAATGAGAGGAGTACCCGAATAGTATTGTACTTGGCAACTGGTGCAAACATCTCCTGATAGTCTATGCCATATGATTGTGTATAGCCTTTGTCTACCAGGCGGGCCTTAAGCCTGTTCACACTCCCATCTGAATTATATTTGGTTGTAAAGACCCACTTGCATCCCACTTGACGCTTTCCTGGAGGAAGATTGGTTAGTTCCCATGTCTCATTTTTTTCAAGTGCCTTGATCTCATCTAAGACAGCTAACTTCTATTTTGGAATTTCCAAGACCTCATGTATTGTTCTGAGTTCAGGTGAGCTGTTGTCTATCCTGCACACAAAAATATGATGTTCCAAGGATAATTTGTTCAATGAAACATAGTTCTGTATAGAATGTTTGATGCATGTTCGAGTACCCTTCCTCAAAACAATGGGAATACCAGAATCAACGGAATCATTAGTTGATACAGAGATTACGTTACTTGGATCAGTGGTGGATTCATGGCAGCGCTTGGATGATTCATGTGCTTTTCCTTTATTTCTTCTTGTATAGACACGTAGCTCACTCGTTGTAAGTAATGTGTTTTCTGTAACTGGTTTTGGTTCTGATTTCTTTTGTGAGGTTTCGGGTTCAGTCTTCAGGGAAAGTTTGTCCGGTGATGGAATTTGTGGGTAGAGAGGAGGTACACTCACATCCCACAACTGATGTTCCTGAGTGAATGTCTCCCCCTGAATATCAGTAGTGAGATAAAATGGTTGATTTTCAAAAAATGTGACGTCCATGGTATTATAAAATCAGCAGGTTTTCGGAACTAGACATTTGTATCCTTTTTTATTTGCTGAGTACCCAACAAAAATACACTTTATTGCTCTTGGGTCTAATTTTCCACGAAGATATTTATGAAGGTGGACATATACTAAACAACCAAAGACTTTAAGTGGCAAAGTGTTTAAAATGTGTGAATCAGGAAAGATTTTTGAGAGAATAGTGTACGGTGATTGAAACTGTAGGATATGGGAGGGCATCCGATTAATCAAATAAGTAGCTGAAAGGATAGCCTCTCCCCAAAGATATGTTGGTAGATGAGTGGTGAACATGAGAGATCTGGCAACCTAAAGGATATGTCTGTTTTTCCTTTCGGCTATGCCATTTACTATGGAGTATGAACACAGGAGCTTTGATGAATAATGTCATATTCAGTAAAGTATTTTTCAAGAGTATTTTTAAAATATTCACAAGTATTGTCAGATCTCAATACTTGGATGGTAGCATGAAATTGGATTCGAATCATTGTATGGAATTTTTTAAATAGAGATCCCACTTCAGATTTTTCCTTCATGAGAAATATCCAAATAATTCTTGTATGGTCATCAAAAAAAAATACAAACCACCTAGTTCCGAAAATGTTAGAAACCTTGAAAGGGCCCCAAACATCACTACGAATTAATGCAAATAGTTTAGACGGTTTATATGATAGATTAAAGAATGAACTTCGAATATGTTTAGAAAATTGGCAAATTTCACACTGTAATGAAATTGGACCTTTTCCTTTAAATAGTAGTGGGAACATTTTTTTCAAGTACATGAAGTTTGGATGTCCTACTCTATAATGCCACAACATAATATCATGGTCATTATTTTCAGAAATAGAAACAGAGTTTTCACATATTGCATTATGATCTTGTCTTTTAGAAATGTTGACTTGAAGCAAATATAATCTCGAGCTCATCCTAGCACTGTCAATCGTCCTCCCCGAATCCAAATCCTGAAAATTACACATATTAGAAACAAATTTCACAGCGCATTTCAAATCTTTACATAGCTTGTTGACAGACAACAAATTACAATTCAAATTTGGAACATGGAGAACTGAATACATAGTCAAATTTGGAAACAAATTTACAGAGCTCATTCCTACCACTTTTGAGAGAGAACCATCTGCAATTTTGATTGAAATATTTTCTTCACATCTTCTATAATTTTGAAATATTGAGAAATCGCCACTCATATGATCAGATGCTCCAGAGTCTATCACTCACACCTGTCCTTTTTCTTAAAGAACAGATAAGTCATGAATATTACCTTTGTGCGCCACAGAGGCACTGAACTAGTGAGATTTCTTGGACAAAATCCATTGGAGGGCTTCCAACTGTTCAGGGGTAAATGGGTCTTTTCCCATCTCATCAGAAATTACTTCCTCAGCCATCACGTGATTTCCTTGAAGCTTCCTGGAGGTCTCTGCTTTCAACGTTTTTCACTCACCCGAAGGTGATTTCCAGTCACTTGGCTTGCCGTGAAGCTTCCAGCAACATTCCCGAGTGTGCCCTAACTTCCGACAGTGGTCGCACCAGGGCCTTGTCTTCTTCGTTCGACTATCAATCGCTCGAGTTGTGAGAGATGAAGAATTTTCAGTCGGGTGAGGTTGGTCATTCTCTCCCATCATGATCTTCCGACGACTCTCCTCGCGTCGAACTTCAGAGAACACTTCTCGAAGACTCGGCAAAGGTTTGGTGCTCAGAACACGTCTCCGAATCAACATTCCCAAGTGTGCCCTAGCTTCCGACAGTGGTCGCACCAGGGCCTTGTCTTCTTCGTTCGACTATCAATCGCTCGAGTTGTGAGAGATGAAGAATTTTCAATCGGGTGAGGTTGGTCATTCTCTCCTATCATGATTTTCCGACGACTCTCCTCGCGTCGAACCTCAAAGAACACTTCTCGAAGACTCGGCAAAGGTTTGGTGCTCAGAACACGTCTCCGAATCGGGTCGAGATTTTTGTTTAGCCCTAGCAGAAATTTGAAGACCCGCTTTTCTGCCACAAAAACTTTGAAGTTTTTCGCGTCCTCGGGGCAGTTCCAGCGACGCTCCTCGAAGGCATCCATCTGTTGCCAACTTCGACTAAGGATACTGTAATACTGGGTGACACTGAGTTCTCCTTGCTGAATGTCATGAAGAGTTGACTCGATTTCGAATATTGCAAAACTATTTTGCTTGCTGAAGTAGAGTTCTTGTGCCGCCTTCCAGATTTCGTGAGTAGTTTCGTAGAGAAGGAAATTCTCTCCAATTTCAGAGGTCATTGAGGTGATAAGTCAGGACATGACCATACTGTCTTTGATCTCCCAGGTTTGTGCATTTGCATCAGACGCTGGAGGAGGCACGAGCTCGATAGTGAGGTGCCCATAACGCCCCCTTCCGCGGATGAAGAGACGGACAGACAACGACCATTGAAGGAAGTTGCTGCCATCAAGTTTATATCCTGTAATACAGAATGATGGTAACTCACTCATAGCTCTGGTTGTTGCTGTGTGGTGATAAGAACCAGAGAAAACTTCTGGTGGAGAGGATGGAAGCTCACCTGAGACCATTTCTAATTACGGCTCAACAGGGTTTGATTTCTTCTTGGATCAGGTATGCTTTGATACCATGAAGAAAATTGAGAGGAAAAAATATTCTTCTTCTATTTTTTAATGAATGATTTACACATATACATACAAATCTACTACTTCTAACAGCCTAACAAATTCTGGAGAAATTCTCACAAAATTCTAGTTTGAAGAAGAAACTTGTTGATGATACCCTCCATGTACAGCACATAACAGCTGTAAATAACCATATTTAATCCTAATTTATTCTTTTAATTATTTTATTTTCTACAGTAATGATATAGGGATCCATGTAAATTGAAAAATGAACATATTATATTTATGTAAGTTGCTTGCTAATGAACTAGTTTACCCCAAAATCTTTTTAGACCTTGACAGCAGCACCAAAACATGAACATTGCCGGTAGTCTTTACAGTACTATAATATTTTATTTTCCATCTATCTAATTACTGACAAGAAATTTCCAAACGCTGTACTATATATTTTTGTTAATTTGATACTGCACGTACAACAAGGATCATCTCTATTTTTCCATTTTCTTTGAGCTAAACCATGGGCGGAGCACATAGATTATTAAGTAAGCGTACTCATAATATATAATATCCACAGAATGCAACTCACAGTCATCACGTCATCCAGAAACCCGTTAATTAGTGCAGGAAGCTAATTTTGGCAAATTTCTTCTGATGAATGAAAATAGATGATAACCACATCAGGGTTTAGCAAAGGGTCTACATTTGGGAAATCATATCTCAAATCCCTCAAAATGGGAAATACACATATCCTTGATGGCTGCCTCTACTGCCAGGCTTAGCAAAATTCTGACAACCAAGCTGACACGTTCAGATATTATAAAACCTCATCATCAAGGATTTTAACATCAACCGTAGAGTAGAAGGAAGATTCTATCGAAAAGCAAAAACAAGATTTTTAAAGCATTGACATAGAAAACATGACTTGAGCGTCTGTAACCTGAGACTGAAACTAGAATGTAAGATGAGTAAGTTGATAAAACTGAAATTTATCAATATACTTGACAACAAATCATCAATTAAGACGATATATATGGAAATTTTAAAAAAGAAAAGCATAATGTGTTATTAAGAAGAAAAGGGACTGAAGAGTGAAAAGGGAACAAAGACCAGCTAGTGGACATAACAAGCATGAATAGAAGATGAAAGAGAATACCTGTAGGTGGCTGGGAAGAGGAAGCCTTGAAAGAGAAAGAGACAGAGAATGGTGATTTTGAAGGAAAAGAAGAAACGGGTGTTGCACGGAAGCGGGTTGGGATAATAGGGAAAAAGCTTGAAGACATAGCCATGGCGGGTTGAAGATAAGAAATGATGACAGTAATTGGCCCTAAACAATAAACTCATCACCATTTTTATCTTTGAGGCAGGGAGTAGGCATGTGCACTCGCAGTGGCAGTGAAAGAACAAAACTGAAAAAGCTCGCCCCCGTTTTCGGCCTCAAGTTACGACACCGTTTTCCGCCTCAAGCATGATGTGATACGAGGCTACGACACCGTTTTCCCTCCCTTGATTGGAGTACGTCGTCGTTTTCCCCTCAAAGTTACATTTTAAACCTAAAAAATTTGTTGCTCTTTTTGAGGTATTAATCTTTCAGAAATTATTTTAGTTTCTACTCCTAACAAAAATTATACGGCAGTTCTTCCATCCCACTTTTTATTTTTATTATTTTATTTTTAAGGTTACCTTGTGCTTTTTTAAGAAAAAGGAAAAGAAAGTTAATATCATAACTTTTTACTAAACCTATCATAATCTTCTGATTAAATTAGATATAAATTTTAAAACAAATTTCCACAGCCCATAACAAAACACCTACTAATAGGAGTCATGACAACTTAGTCAAATTTGAGACAGTCATAACTTATAAGATGGGAAGCTATGCCACGAGATATTCAAAACATTTGTGGAATCACATTCAATGTCAATTAGTTTCCACCCAACCCAAAAAACCTCCAAGAAACTTAAGAAAATTACTCGTGGAGATGATTGCAACTCAGAAAAGCACAGGTGGGTGTAAAAAATTTCCTGTGATCGTGCATTCTGGGTTAATTAGTATCTATACATACTACCAAAAAGAGAGGAAAAAAAAAAAAGGTTACTTTCCATCAGGACAAAAAGACAACCATAACTCATCATCTGCTCGAGCAGGTTCTTGATCTACCGTTTTTCTGCCTGCACATGTTTATAGAAGGGAAGAGTTAGCAACTGGCAAACAAGAAAATTCAGAGAATGAATGAGAAAGTGAGAGAAGAGAGTTGTTCAAATAATCATAAGCAACTGACCAAAACGAATCCTTCTTTTCCTGTGCTAATAACTCTTCAAAGGAAATGTCAGTAAATTCACTTTCGCTGTCTGTGCTTCCCACCAGCTCACTAGACTTGGCCTTCATTTCCATGCATGCACCAATTTCTAGCATCTTCAACACAAAAGACAGCTACTATCAGCATCATGATAAAATAAGATTAGATTTTGGTTGTAATTTATAAATTATTTGCAGAAAAGAAATCATTCTTCTTTTCTGGGGAATTCAGACAATCTAAAACCAAATAGATATGATTGTGAAACTAGATTCATTCCCCACTCAGATATAATCCCCTTTATATTTCTAACAGAGAAGTAAAAAGAATTATTAGCTGAAAAACTTCTTTCAGTTTGGCTTTGTGTACCAGCCTATCACATTCAAAAAAAGTCATCTGACCCAGTCATGCTCACCTTTGCAATATGATAATAGCCATTTGGTTACCTTATAGATGCACCAGGGAGAACAAGAAAATAAACATATATATCAGGAAGAACTTCTCTGTAACACTATATTGCACCAGCATACTCGTGGGTAAATATAGTCAAAGTGAAAGGAATAACAGAGTGAGTATTTACCGATTGCTACCTGTTTGTGGACTTTGTCAATGTCAAAGTTTTCAATTACTAGGAAGAGAAGTTGAACATCAGAATAAATAAATCTCCATTCAAGGCATCCTATCAAATACACTTCTGACAAGTCTGAGTTACCTTCTTGTATGCTGGTGAGAGTTTCAGTTGTTGTTGGAGCCAATTATAAACAAATGCATCCTCCTCTAATCTCTTTTGTTCCATTTCAAGCTTGTATATCTGAAGATATCCAAGAATCAAATTTAAAAGTAGGTAAGTTACTTGAATAGATTGACTAAATCGCAAGCAAAGCACATCAAAATAAAAATATCATGTACCTGTTGACGAATTCGCTCAAAGGAAGATCTGTCTGCCTTGAACAGAAGAGCCTTTGTTATTGTGAATCTACGTTTGATGATCTCAGACCTAATGAAGAATTTAAGATCAATTAATGAGAAGAGGAATTAATGCTTGAAGATTGTTCAGTAAAAAAAGTTACACGTAAAAGTGTTGACCTCAACTGAAGATATATGCTAGATTGTATTAATGACAAATTGAGCATGAGTTGCTCCATGGAAAAGTTTCACATTACTTTAGAACTTATTAAATGTGAGCAGAGCCTTTGGCAAAATGCATAAGATATGTAGATGTTAACGAAACAGGCTCCCTAGGATGATATTCACAATACTTTATAGATAAAATTTACAGAAAAAGACGAAAACATCTCTTTTTAGTGCAAGTAAATAAAGGAATAGAAAACACAAGTTCATGGTGACACAAAAATAAAAACATTTTAGGTCCTAAAATACTTCTGCTGATCATTAGTTCCTGACTCTTTTGCTTTCTGATACAAGATATATTGGCATAGTATCGCTCTACTTTTCTATATAACTAAGTGCTACTTAATTCCATTTCGATCTTAACCAATCAGCACTATCCTCCTCCCTTTCTTTCTTAACAATATAGAACTATACATCAAATGACAGCTAATATGCGGAGTACAGTTGTAAAGGTGCTGGATTCTCACTAAATAGGGAAAAGTTGTAACTACTAAAATGCTTAACACCAAACAGTTAGGAAAGGCAATATAAATGTTTCTGTTCTTCCTGAAATAAGAGTTTTTTGCTTCTTCCATTAAAAACGGACCAAAATGATAATCTATTAATTTATGTTGAATAAACCCATAAGAATAAACAAAAAGCTTACAGCCAAGAAAGTGTAAGAGACATTATTCAAACTTACTTGTGCTGTAGTTCATTTCTGGCCTCAATCAAACAATTAGCAAACTCTCCAACCTGCATCACAAAAGAGCACATAAGGCTGTCATACTGGAGGATGGTACCATCTAACAGTAAATTGCAAAAGACTTACCCTACCTAAAGAACCAAAGAAGGGGAAGAAAAAAAAATTTCAAAAGATGATGAGGTATACAGTTTATTATGCTATGATCCAGTTCACAAATACACATAATAAACCTATGTTGCTTCATTTTTAACATAAACAGACTGGAATTGATTGTGCTATAAAGAGAAGAAGAATCCTTTTTGCTAGAAATTCAATCAATTTAACAATCACCTTTGGAAGTAAAAAGGACAAGTTAGAGATGAATGCTAAGTTTCATGCAAGGCTTATACTAAATACCGTTGAAACATACAATTATGTCAACACAAGATATCACAATGCAAGGGATGTTTTACTATTGGAAGTCCATATCTTGCCACCAATCCTCCCAATTCTCAAAGGCACAACAAAAAACAGGCCCCAATAACTGCTTTTGTTGAGCAAATACTATCCATAAATAGGGTTTTTTTTAAAAAAAAAAAGGAAATATTTGAGATAGTGAAGAAAAAGATACGCAAGCTGAGGATAAGAAATCCTCTTAAGTTAACAAAAAGAAGAACAAAGGAAAGAACCACATAAAATCAAGACAACAAAGCCTCTCAGTCCCTCTACAAAATAGCCAAAGTTGCATCCCTAAAGAACCCGTGAGCCTTGGCTAAGCAAAGAAACCAATCTATCCTCTAGGAGAGACAGGAAAAAAGCAATCATAGACTTTCCAACCACAACACCCATAAACCAGCAAAAATAAGTGTTAGAAAAGAAGTAATTTCCGTTGCGGTTCTGATAAAAGTTGTCAGAATATGAATAATATTTTACCACTTTTCTATTAATTTAAGTTTTTGAAATAATCAAAACTAATTGTTTCACATGATAGTGCAGCAAGTTAAGGATTTGAATCTTGGCAACATTGTGTCCGCTAAAAATTTGAATGGCACGATGGACATGTACTTGATTGCACTGTTAGCCAAGTAGATTCATACATGAAGAGTTATATTCAAATAGGAAATAAAAGGTTAAAGCATTTTCTACCAACTTAAAACTTTTAAAATGATTAGCACAATAGAAATAAGAGGTTAGGTATTCTATCAACTTAAACTTTTGGAATAATTGGTAGTCTGACCTATAATTTCAAGGACATAACCACTTCCCATGAATCAGCTATATTGACCCGATTATGAAAGCCTTATTCCAGAGGATATCTTGAGTTAAATGCCATATCAATCCTTTTTAATGCTTTCAAACTCCCATGCATCATGTAATTCCAGAAATTCCTTAGACCGTAAAAAGAATTTGTAATAAGCAGTTCTAAGGATTATATTCTTTATGCAAGCCTCTAGATTCATATACAATTAATTCCCTCCAATTTTCCTCCTTCCATGTCCCCCTATGAAACTGGGTTCGAAACCTTATTTGACCTCGAGACTCCAACCATGACAATTTCAGCTCAAGGAAGTTCAAGCATTTAAGCAAGCAGATAAAGAATGCTAAAAGTCCTGAAAAAGATCAGAATGTTAATTGTGCTATGACAATGAAACATTCACTTCTATGTATCAAGCACCTACAGAAAGAAACCATCGGGTCCATCCTCTTCTGAAGTAGGTGAAAGTAATTAGAGTTGATGCGATGATTGTCCAAGTACAGCATCATAATATTTTGGGGGGAAATAATGCAGATGAATTGATGTCATATCACCAAGTTGATTATGCAAATAGTTAAAACAACATTCTTGCGGCAAGACTAAAAAGGTACTTGGGAATGCTTATTTGTTTCTTCTAAGGAGCTTTTAGCACTTTGCTTCATTTCTGGTAACGTAAAAAACAGATTACTCATTATGTGCCGATAAACAGCTTTAGATAAGAAAATAATACACGTCTCTCCCTAACTGTTTCTAATTTTTTTTTTTGTAACATTAATTCAAGAATAATTTTTTGTTTTGTCCGGCTGTCCAATATTTGTGGTCAATCTATGGCCTGCTGAGTTTGAGTTGGGTTAGGGCTGGATCATTTAGGGAGGAGATTTGAGCGTGGGACGGGATGGGCAGAAAATAGAAACATGTTAATTTAATTCCTTTAACCATTTTTTGGTTATTTGGAAAGAGAGGAATAGGAGAGCTTTTGAAGATATAGAAAGTGACATGATTGAGACTAGAGATAGGTGGCTTCATTTGTTTTGGTCTTTTTTGATGGGGCATGACATACATAGGGTGGAAGATTTTGGGTATATGATTGATTGTCTTACCAACATATAAATCTTTTTGTAAATGGGTTGCACCCCCTTGGTGCACTGTTAATATTATTCATACTTTTTATCTCAAAAAAAAAAATTCAAGAATACTTTTTTTTGGTAAAAGGAATATAAATAAACCTTACTTTTCACAACAACCCTCTGTTTCAAAACGAGTACTATTTATTTTTTCAAATCAGTACTTAGAGCACATACTGCATGGGCACATTTACTTGAGCAATCCCAAAGCTGAAACTCAGCAAGAAAACAACCAGATGTTAGCTCTCTAACCTTCTGCCTCATCAAAGAACAGAGATCTCAGCAGATACTATGTTCATAAAGTATACCATCTCATCAGCTATTGTAGCCATTACCAGTTTCTAATCTAGAAACTTTTCAGTTCCAAATACTGCACCGGCAGACAAGAACTTCTCCAATTCTTCTCAATGCCATCCATAAAGAAAATTGACAATAAATTGACTATCTTAACCATCTCAACTTCAGATGATATTCACAAACAAAAACTTGGTCAAAAAATAAAATACTATATTCAAGTCTTTTTTTCTACAGCAAATTGTAAAATCAGAATACTCAGCCTATTTCCTTAATTTAGTAAGAACCATCTAGTTCCGTGCTTCTTTTTTATTATTTCTTCTCTTGTCTCCTTTCATGATAAGGCGAGAAACATATACAGCATGCATAAGCAAAGGAATTACTTAACAAGTGTTGTAATAAAACAGACGATCATTAGAAAAGAAAGGAATTTATCTATAAACTTATGAAAGAAGAAGAAAACATAAATGTTCTCCAAGTGGTAAATAAAGGTATTTCAACAGGGCAAGCAACAAATACAATTCCTTTATTGCCACTTAAGCAACAGATATTTGATAAGCCAATATAAACACAACCACGATAATTAGAGAGAAAAGAGCAAGCATTAGCCAAAGCTTAAGAAAGAAAATTAAAGTAATATAAGCTCCAAGTTATTAAAATCACGAGTAACTAGCAACAAGGAAGTACACACACAGAAGGAGAAGACAAAACCTGGGTTTCAAAATAACGCGAGGAAGTAAAAAAAAAACGGAACCTGTGCCAGTGTCAATCCCTTGGTTTCGTGGCATTTTACAAGCTGATCATACTGCTGCTTGATCTTTCTCTGTGTAGCACTACTCGTAGACGTGAACGGGTACAAGCAAACTAGCTCCGGTCTGACCCGCGCATCCGAACCCGAACTTTCTGTCTCCGTACACTTCTCTTGACCATTCTCATTGTCTTCACGTCTCAAATCCAGCCGCTTCTTCTTCGCTCTCTTCTTCTTCTTCCTGTTACTCCCTCCTTGATCCCCAGCCGACCCGCCAGTCTCTGGAACCGCCCCGGTTACTGAACCAGGCTCCTCGTCGGCAACCGAATAACCCCATTTTGCAGAGTCAGAGGGCAAGATCCCGAAAAGAAGAGAATGGGTCAAATGGGTCGGGTCATTTTCGCGGGATTCTTGGGCTTTCTCCGCAATCTTCGACAAAGAACCCCTCAATACTGACGGGTCGTTTTGGGTATGTCGTTTCTGGTTCTTCCTGTGGAAATTTCTGCAGATGGAGAAAGTGACAAGGAAAAGAGAGAGAAGCGATAGAGCGAACAACAAGAATAACAAGAAAAGCAAAAGAATAGAAAACATGGGTTCTTCTTCTCCTCCTCCTCCTCCTCCGTTTAGTTTCTTTGTGGTAAAAGATGAATCAAGAACAGAGAGTTCATCAGATAACAGTGAGATGATATACGTGAAGCTAAAAAAGCTTATGGTAGCCGCCATTTAAACGCGTCATGTATAGAGAGCATACACCAAAGAGAGAGACAAACAAAAAGAGAACTTGGAGAAAAATAAAGAGATTATGGTTTAAGGGATAAAGCGACACGATTTCTGTTCCTAGTATGCTGCTTTGATTTGATATGAAGCTTCTATTTTGTGATTTTTTTCGGGGGGGAGGAGGGAGGGAGCGCTTGGAACTAGTTTGACATGCGTGTGTTTGTTTCTTGCGTGACAGGTGCTCTGGAGCCGTCCGATTAAATGATCGATTGGACAATCTCAGATCAGAGGGTTTAAGGTGACCCTGTAAATTAGACTCGGGGTCATCTTATCTGATTTTATATTTATAATTGATTATAGTGATCTAAAGTATATTTTTATTTCGTCTTTTACGTACATGTTATATAATAATATTTTAATAAGGAAGTGCAGATATATATATATATATATATTATATATAACAAGTATCCAAGATTAATTATATAAATTTGACAACATGCGTCAAATTAATTGTCACTTTGAGTATACTAGTTGGGATGAGAACAATCAATATTTACAGTTTTATTTTATGTTTTTTTTTTTTTTTTGTAATTTATAATTTGTTTAGATTAAGTTCTTTATTTTTTAACTTAAAATAAATTAGATTTTTATTACGAGAATTATGTAATTAATAATACGAAAATTATGACATAAATTCTGAATTTTGAGAGAAATATTTTTGCCTAGAGCTTCTACTTTCCTAATTTAATAAATAATATTCTTATATAATATATTATCTCTTTTTATTTTAATAATAATACAATGTAGAAAGTATTTTTCATAAACACACCGACCTTACTAAGAGATCTGCCAATAATGGAGCAAGCAGCACATGGTAACCGTGAAGGAAAGTCAAATAATAATCTTATCTGTTTTCTTAATAAGATCCACTTCTAAGAAAAGTTGTAGGAATAATATTCTTGGATTCCCATGAACACCACCACCCTAACAAGGAGAATCATGATCTCCTACTTGTGGATTAATTATATCACATACATATCATTTAGCAATCCTCAATACATCATACCCAATTGTTTAAAAAATTCTGAGAAACAACATTTAAGTCGAATTCATCACTGAAGTCAGCCTTTTTTAATTCATAGGTATCAGGATGAACCCTATTGTAAGAGCTGGAAACTGTAACAATCAAGGTGGAAGATCAGCCTCGAGTCTGAAGACAGCAACTGAACTAAAAAGAGTAAATATATTATGGCCATTTGAGGCCTTTGTTCCTTTTTTCTTGCAAGAACAAAGCAGTGTAAACAATTTTGCTTCTCAAGAAACTTGAAAGAGAATGTACCACTTAAAATGACTAGAAATCAGAGGATTTCCATCCCCTATAAAAGCTAAAATATCTGGCACATGGACTGGGTTACCGCCGTCTCACTGTGCTTCGACAGATTCCATCCTTAAACTTCCATATAACATGCAGGCAACGAATCATTGCTTTATGTACATTTTTCCAATGGACAAACACTTTGACAATGCTTGTAAGAGATGCCAGCCATCCATGGTGTGTGCTGTATATTTGTACAACTTCACCATTTGAAAGCTGGAACAGAATGGCTGCAAACTTCGATGTGTAGACTTAATTTATCCAAGAAATAATATAACTGATGACTTGTAAAAAAAAGAATCAGTCCACAATTTCCTTCACTTCCATCACTTTTCTGATGTTACAGTTCTTCAGCTGCAAACAACCTCCACCGCGAGTTTCTTCATGACACTGGGGCAGGGATCTCCACCGAACATTTCGGGTGCTACTGTTACTGAGCACCAGTTCTGCCCAACACAGAGCTGCAACATATAAACCCAGAGTTAAGATTCATGAGTGGTGGAAAGGAAACAATGACAGTGAAGGATTCAGCGTTCCAATAATAGAAATCGATAAAACCCAGCAAGATCAGCTACTGCCGGATAGAGATGAAAAAAACCATATCAAAAGGCACGTCAACCTAAAAAAAGTAATCACTAGACAACATACTAAACTGAGTAGTTTTTACTTGCGTTGAAAAAGACATAATAAGGAAAGAATCTGGTGTACCCTCTCAAAAGCATCATAAGAATGATGTGCATGGCAGCTTCCCTCCCGGTAGCTTCCACAAGCCCCTTCTGGAGTGCCAAAACTGGCAAACTTCACTGATGAGATCTTCTGCCCAGGGCCACACTGTAGATGAGCTTTAGGCCGCAGTGGTTTGTTTACCTTTCCAGATGCTTGCATTTGATAATTCATCAGAGTTGGTTGCCACTCATAAATATCAGCACAAACACTGTCTACTTCTCTTCTAACCAAGGATATTCCATTAGGATCTCCACCCCATTCTTCAAAAACAACCAACAAATTCCCTGTTGGGTTGAGCCATGAGCGAGGAACGTGATACCTATAGAATCAACCAGCAGTTAGTGTTGCAGGAGCTCCATACCTGCATAGAAAAGCATAAAAGCAATGCAAGTTTCCTTACCATCTTTGAGAAGCCTCTCCACAATTACTTAAGCACTTCTTCTCATTAAATGTTCCAGCATAATCACACCAACCACAAGAACCAGATGCTTTATATGCAGGCCAGTGCCGCCCGATACTCTTTCCATTTATCCATATTTGTCCTTTACCCATACTATTCATATCCAGAGCCAATGGAGAATTTCCAGCCGGAGCATTGAAAGTAGTCTAGAAAGAGAACAGAAGAATCTCAACTCTCGGAAGAAAGGCTTACAAAGAGCATTGTATAATGGGGTGCCCAAAAAAATTTTAATTTGCATGAACCATCAATCTCTCTCAGTACGGTGATAAACATGGATTTTATTCATTCATTCATTTTTTTAGGGAAAGTATGCAATTAAAACGGGATTTCTACGCATAGACTAGACCCGCAACTTGGTTAAGGACAGCAATCAAAGCATCAAGTTTAAAGAGACAGTGTTTCCACACTTTTCTAAGGTCTACCTTCAGGAATACCAGAAATACAATTTTCATAAATGACTTTCTGATAACAGCTTATACAGTGCCATAAGATGCCTCTAAAAGCATAGGATAAGAAAAAGTTATACCAATAGATATTCAAAATACTCACTTTGAACCAAGTAAGGGGCTGCCTTCTTGCTACAAAAGACCCTGCAGTCCACTCAACTGAGGAACTCCCACTGAGTGAATGAAGACTCATTGCTTCTCCTTCAACACCAACCTGATGCCAATTATACAACCAGTTCAATCTAAAATCTCTACCATGTTGGAGAAATAAAAGTAATATAATCTTTCAAACAAACCTTGTAAGACCATTTCTGCCATGATAAGTCCCTTCTTCCCTCGTTAAGACCATTCAATGTTACAGGACCAAGAACTCCAGCATTCCATGTCTCAAAATGAGGACCGACGTTCTGAATTCAAATGACAAGCAGAATAGTGTAGTTAATTTCAAACTCACAGCAATTTACCCAGAAAAGCAGGAGCAGGGAGAGAGAAAAAGAGAGACAGAGAGACAGAGAGAGAACAAACCGGAAGACCAACAGCAATGCTTAGAATTGAAATCTTGTTGATGCCAGCTCTCAGATTTACACCTTTACTGAAAGTTATCTTTGGAAATTCTAAGCTTCCATAGGCAGTTCCTGCCCAAAAGGAAAAAAGAGACTTGTTAAAATGGATTAGATCTACCAAGTACTTTGTCTATGCTATGCTGTATGTTGCATAAATTCACCATCCAACTTCCCTATGTTTGACCCTATGAACAATTCCCAAAGTTATTAATATATCTGAGAAGGAGGTAAATAAAAGTGCAGCCAAATCCAAAATGAACGGGTTTTCTTATACTTGCACTGAAAGGATAGGAATTTTCCACTGGCTTCCTTCTTTAAAAGAAATTTCTAAGCATAAACATAATAATCGATCTCACAAAATATTAATGAAATTCTTATGGTCATCTTCAGTATCATTAACTTGTTGTGGTTCATTGGTTTGCTCCTCAATGAGGAATACAATTCAAGGCCACCAATATGATGGGAAACTACTTCCTTAAAATATCATATTTTAAATGTGAACGTCATATATCTTTGATTGGACTAGAGGGATGGATTAGTCAAACTACAATAGTATGAATTCGTTTACACGCACTAAGTGTCAATGCATGTAATAAATATTACATATCAATCAAGATATCAATAAGGTCCCCAAAATCCTCAACCTAGGATTTGGTATCAGTTACCCTTAACCTACGATGATTAGCTATACAATTGAAGAATTTCGTACTTCTATCTCCCCCCCTTTATCCACCTGGATCGAGACTTTTGTCTTCATGAGATCTCTTCCATCTGGATCCTATTTGCTAGTTAAATGCAGATAAATTCTCTAAGTGCCTGATCAGCGGTATGTGAACCACCCTCCCCTTCCCTTCTATCAAGGCCCTCTAGATCCTGAAATAAGGATTGAGTAAAAGTAAACTCCCCTCTCCACTCCTCTTGACACCACTTCTCATTCATGCCTCAACTGCCCATAACTTCTTAGCCATCCTGTAACTTTCCTTGCCCTTCACCATCATGCCATTCCACTAATATCTTATTCTATCCTAAAACTTCGTGACTTTAAGTCACTTATTCTCAAATCTGAAGGAGAGAGCCCCCATTTTATCCCATCAGGATCTAGGCAGATCAAGAAATAATCAATGATAGAGCACTGTAGTAGTCAAAGATCCCCTTTTATCCAGTAAATTTCCTGCAAGACACCCAGGGGCCACTGGATTTCCTCCTCCCAAAAAATGATAGTCAATCTGAACTCTTTACCATTCTCACTCACCCTTATACCTTTCCCTTTCTTTCCCCCAATTCCAGTGTCAAATGTCTAACTTTTAATAACCAGGTATTTCCTAGTCGCTAGAAGTGTCATGCCTCCTCACTGCTTGCTAGTGGCACGAGCAGAGAGGACAAAGAATCCATCGTCCATACAAGGGCTAATAGGCACATCCATACATCACTCACCACCATCCCTGGCAACTGAAAATGACCAAGTGCATGCAGAATTAGTTCCTCTAAAATACTAAGTGAATATCCAATATTTACTGGACTGGTAAGATGGATTGGTCAAAGGCGTGGAAGCTAGTTTCTGCACTAGTTTAATTGTATGCCAAAAAATACCTGTCTACCATCCCTGCAGTGCTCACCTGATAGTTGGTCGTTGACAAATACATGTAAAGCATGACCAGCAGATAAAACAGTGAGTGTGGGGTACTTTCCAGTCTTCAAGAATCCTTCATCAGGATCAATCTTAACACTGAAAGGGAACGGGAAATTTTTTACAAAGATGTGAGAACTAAATAACTTATCAAAAAATTTTCTTGATGTGTATGCAGTAAAAGAGAGTATAATACTCACTCCGTTGAGTACCATAAATAGTCAGAGACATCTCTAGTTGTATTTATCTGTTCCACCAATCCTACCGTCGTGAATGACCTTTCACCATTTGAGGAAGGTGCCTCTTCATTATAAGCCTGCCAAGAGAATGCTCCATGAATAGGAACAGGAACCATCTTCATCCTAGCACTTTGAGCACCAACCTGCAAAAAAAATGTTGAAACAAAAGGTAACCTCTTTTTCCTGCATGATTTGTAATGGCAAATCCATCCATTTCTTAACTTTTAAGAAAGTATGGCTGTAAAATCAGTGCACTTCCCCCAAAAAAAAATATTGTTTTTATGGATTTTGAAGTTTAAGACTACAGTTAAGAAGATTTTTAACCATTTATCATTTGGAGAGTTTCTAACTGTATACTGCTAAACAGAATCTACACAAGGAAAATGTTGCTTTGCAAATAGAAGTTATAGTTTGAAAGAAGAAATATTGTCATATGGATAATTTCAGCTCAAAACCAATCTGGGTATCCATGGATTACATTAAAAGTCTTCTCACCCTTGCAGTGTTATAAACAGTGTTTTTACAGTCGGGAAGAATGCTGATAGACCAAGGAGGCAGGTTGTAATGCATATTCCCAAAGGCAACTTTAGCAAAAGATCTTGGATTGTAATTTGCAAGGAATGCAGCACAATGCCCATATTTTGATTTGAAGACATGAGCCTGCACGGGAATGATGAAATTGAGCCATGAAAGTTAGTTATAAGTAAAAGAGGATACATGTTTCTCAGAAAGCAAAAGTCAGTTTTAACCTCTTGAAAGCGTCCAAGTGGCATGACAGAAGGATCACCAGACACCAGTGCTGGTTCACACAGTTTTATTGCTCGATGTAAATCTTTCAAATGACCCCATTTAGGTTGCCTCACCAGTCCTGTAAGAAGCAAAGTCTAGTCAACAAGTCTAGAAGAGAAGAGAAAACTTTTGCTAATAAAGAGTGCAGAGGAGTATAGCGTACTGAAAAAATGAACAGGTTAAAGGTCTCTCTGTACATATCACTTTCATAAATACAAAGTGAAAAGGCTTCTTTGAAAAGTTAAACAAAGTAACACCAGATTTATTTTTTGGAAAAAGAAAGGACCATCCATGTAGCAGCACATATATACGCCATAAATATATTCAGCTAGCTACCCACTACAGTACAAACAAGTAGCAAACAATTGATGAGAAAAGTCCTAGCAGAATAGCTACAAAGAGTTAAAAAGCAGTTCAAAAAGACAGCCATCATTTTCTCAACTACATTAGATGACACTCGTCGAGACATGGGGTTGAGATTCTATAAAAGCTCCTGTAATCAAGAATAAGAACCTGAAATTGCAACAGAAGATATGATCAAACTACTACCCTGCTAGCTTGCTAAAGACGAATTAACAAGAGCATCCATTCCACTGTAATGTGGCATATGGTGCTGGCTGGCAATGTCCGAATTATGAAGAAAGCTGGATTCTGAGACACAATCCTGTGATCTAGGTAGAGAGCTTAAGAGGAATACTAAAAGTTTAAGACTTAAGATTAGGCAAGTTATGAGATGATCACATAATAATTGATTATATCAATTATTCCAAAAGTTTAAGCTGTCATGACATGCCTCAATCAGTTATCAATAGACTAACAAGTTTAATCAGGTATAAAGCCAGCTAGGCCGAAACACATATCAAAGATAGAACTTTTGTACCATACACAGAAACCTAGTGACCACAAATTGAGTACCTAGGAAGCTCCAATGCTGTCCATAATTTAGTGTAATCAATTTCCCTAAAATCTCAAGCAAATACAAAGTGACTCAATTTATTATTTATTATTTTTAGGTTAAGAATGATAAGTATAGCACTTACCATATTCATCAAGAGGAGCATCATAATCATAGCTAGTGGCAATGAAGGGGCCACCAGCAGTGCGGCCAAAATTTGTTCCTCCATGATACTGAAATCACACAGAAATGTCATATAAGATTTAGTTGAACTCACCCATCATCCAACTTACTTGGCAAACTCAACAGTCAATAAAATTACCATATAATAGTTAATGAACGACCCTCCCTTCTGGATAAACCTTGCAACTGAAAATGCCAAGTCTTCCACTGGTCGGTAAGGAACTGCACCTCCAAACTCAGTAAACCTGAAGATAATGGAGCAAAAATAAAAAGAAAATTAGCGTCAACTTACAACATGTTAATCTCTAGCTCCTAGATAGGTGGTAGACTGGTGGAGATACAGAAGAAGATTGCAGTAAGGTTAACCAGCATGCACAATGCCACTTACCAACCAGTCCAAGCTTCAGTCCACATCTTGGGCTTGTATGCTTTGTTTGGAGAAAAGTAATCACAGTAGAAACCATTGCAGCTGTTAATCTATAGTTACAATAAAACTCAAAAACCTTAGAATATAACCAAAATGTGGGAAAGGTGTGACTATTAAGTATCTAATTAACCATTTATAGATGTAATGGGTGAACGTAATTAACAGAGGGACATGCTCATCAATCTATCATTACAAAACATCATGGATTAAGGGGAATAAACTAAAGGTAACTAAAATTAATGGGCAATAACGGGAATTGAACCCGGGTGTGCAAAGCCCACCAGATTGGACCCAGATCAAAGTTGAGCCATATGTAATGACAAATAATAATTCATTTCATCCATCAGCAACTAAGTGGAAATAAAGATTCTTAGCAATCCCACCTAGGGTTAACAAAACACAACATGAGGAACATAATGAGGAACCTGACAAAAAGAAAAGATGCAAAAAGATATTGTCAAAATAGAGCAAGATTATTGATTCTTACAATAGGATCAGGTGCATCATCTTGCTTGCACATGACCCACGGGACACCAGTACCGAGTCCCACAGCCATCTGAGCTGCCCATTGGCTGTAAGCACGCCCGGCTGCACCAAGTTCGTACTCCATGGGTCCATATTCATTTTCAATCTGTTAGAAAACACCCACACAAAAAGTAAACTACTTAGGTTAGTTTACACCTCATTATCACAATGACAAAATTCCATAATCAGCTAATGGTGGTTACAAGATTCATGGGACTAAAGAACTAATTGGAAGATTTTAAGCACCTGGGATAAAATTATTGGACCCCCTTGAGATTCAAACAACCCTTCAGCTTTCATCATATCAACAATTTTCTTTGTAAATCTTTGCATGTATGCCTTCAGTGTAGGAATTAACAAACATGACATCCGTCAGAACTAATCAGAAATTTACAACAAAAAAAAAGAAAAAGAAAAAGGAGAGAGAGATTGACGTATAAGGAGAATTCATGCGTAAACAAGAAGAATACTCAACCTTGAAAGGTCCATTGTTCGTTCTGAAAGCGATGCCTGGAATGTACTTAAGCCAAACAGGAAAACCCCTGCAAATAACAACGGGATTTTTGTATCATAATTTCCAAACTTTTGCAGCAAAGGATACTCTTTCCCCTGTGATTTTTGTATAGTAAGCGCATTTACCCAAAGTTCCACTCGGCACAAACATATGGACCAATCCTGAGATGAACATAGAGGCCTGCTTGCTTCACCAGCTTAATGAATCTAACCAGATCATAGTTTCCTCCAAAGTAGTACTAGAATAAACCAAGAAATAGGAACAAAGAAGTAAAAACTTTATGTTCCATAGAAAGAAATGTAAGCAGCGAAACCAATAAAATGGTGGCATTTTCCCATACTTTGCCAGGTGAAGGCTCATGCCCATTCCAAAAAACGTAAGTCTGAATCACATCTAGTCCTCCCTCCTTCGCCTTCTGTATAAGATCCGGCCACATCTGCAAGCAACAACAAGTTCAAACAAAACGCAAACAAAAATAATAAACTCAAAATGAAAAATAGAAACAAATAAACAAAAACCCGTATGTGTACGTCTGTGTATTAAAACATGGGTATGTAGAGGAAAATTTGAGAGATACCCAGATTTCTTGTTTGAAAAAAATTTCAAAAAAAAAAAAAAAAAAGAAAGGGTAACAGAGTTGCAAGGAAAAAAGAAACGCAGTAAATATGATTAAATAAAAGGGAGAAAAGAAGGTGCATTTGGTAGAGGAACAAACCTCAGGTGTGCTTCTCGGGTAGTGAATGGATCCAGAGAGGAGGATCCTTCTCTTCCCATTAATGGTGATAGCTTTGTGATCATAGGACACAGAAGCAATCACCGAAACAAGCAGAGAACTGACCAAGACCGCCGCCAGTATCACATTCATGGCCACAGGAAGCTTGTTGAAGGTCGTAACTGCAGTAAAAAAATAAATGAGGGTGTTGGGGAGATTACACCCACAAAGCAAAGCAATGCAATGAGCTTAGTTTTCCTTTCTTCCTCCCTTGGTTGCTCTATTATTCCTTTACTCGCTTTATTCTATTATTCTGTGGTGTAGAGAGAGAAAAAAGATGTGAGAAAGGAGAAACAAATAGTTACGGATACAGCTAGCTTTGTATGTCTTTTCTCTGTCCTTGAGTTCCCCTTTTTCTTCCTTCTTCTTTCAATGGAGAATTGAAAAGAGAGAGAGAGAGAGAGAGAGAGAGAGAGAGAGAGAGAGAGAGAGAGCTTGAAGAGTATAAGTGGAAAGAGAAGAGAAGGGATATTGGGTAAAAATGAGGGTGATTTGCAGATGCTTTTATAAACAATCAAGAAAAAGTGGGCCCCACTTTAAGAACTTTGGGACCCACCCTCTTGGCCTCACTCCACTCATTTTCTTGTTTTTAAGTTTCTCTATAAAATTACGTCTTAATTTATTATTCTTTTAAAAAAATAAAAAAAAAAACACAAATAAAAGAAAAGAAAAAAGCTGTCATGGCTTAAAGCTGTGTTTGGCTGTTTGGCAAAACATGGGGATAATTCAAAAACCTCCTCTCTTTTCGAGTTTAAAAGCGCACGGATTCCAAACACAATCCTCGCAATACTTGTTTTTACCAAATGTCTCACCGCGCGCGTGTAGAACCCACTACGGACCTCAGATAATTTAGTTTTTTTCAGAAAATAAAATTTTAAAAATATGAAAAGCAGAACGTATTTTTTAAATATATAAAAAAGGAAACGTTTTATTTCTTCTAATGAAATAGTGAGTGAAAAGTGAGAACAGTCAAAAGTAGTGGGTAATAAGTTTGCAGGTTGTACACGTGCGCGTCAGGAGCGTGGGACAGCATCTATTTGAGTAATTTCCCTTTGAAAATTGATATTTTCACCGTGCTTAGATTCCCGCTGGAGTAAAAAAAGTGAAGCTTAAAATATCACGGGATTTCCCTGTACACTATGAATATCATATTTTTACTGCTTCGCGTTAACAGAGAACTATTAAACGCCGTCGTATCATTTGGTAAATGCCGAAGATACAACGCGCCGTGTAGGATCGTCATTTCCATTTGTTTATTTATATACACACACACACATATATATATATATATTGGAGAAATTGATCTCTAATATTTTTAAATAAAAATAAAAAGTAAAAAATATAATATAGTTCGAGAATATACTTATATCTATGAAAATAAATTTTTTTATTATGATAATTGAGAATGTACCTTATTAATAAAGTGATGAGTCAAAATTTAATATAAAAATTATAATTTATTTTATTTATTAATTTAAATTTAAATTATATTTATTTTTTAAATATTATGTTATTAGTAAGAATTTATCTTTTAATTGATTTAATTAATGTTTATTTTTTAAATAATAAGAAATTATTTTTAAAAAATTTAAATTTAAATAAATTTTTTTAAATTTATTAATTATAAAGTAAGTTAATTTAATAAAAATTTAAGTTGATTTTTTTTTTTTATCAAGAAAAATTTCAACATTATTAAATCTTAAATAGATAAACTACTATAATTTTTATTTAACAAATTCTGCAAAAAATATATAAAATATCTTCATGTAATATATACAAATCCTCCAAAATAAATATAAATATTC